TGCTCCCCCGCAAGATACGCGCAGGGTCTGCGAAGAAATTTTTAAGGGATCCTGACTTCTCTGTTCCTGTAAAATAGCTTCTTTACAACTTCAGGCGCAGAATGAGATTCCGACTTTTCGCAACCAATAGTAACGTAACAGGCGAAAATGTTGTCATATTTTTATTATAATATTTTTAAAGTGAAACTGGTAGGCTTGTATGTCTCACAGTTGGTGTTGAATTTCGCTGCTTAGTTTATCAAGCTGCTGTAAAATAGGTTAATAATACTAGCGTTAAAAGTTGAAATTAAATTGTCATAAAGGAATAATACAGGGTGATGTTTCTTTTCAAGAACTGTTATTTCCAGTCGAAGGCTACGTTTCTACATTCGTTTCTGGAATTGAGTCTGGAGTGGTCTACTGCAGCGAAGACACCTCCTGAAACTTAGCGGTTTGGATTTCAGTTCTGGTTTTGTACGGAATGGTTTCGTGAGAAGAAATAACGCTGTAAAATGGCTTGCTACCGTTAAGCTCGAGGGCATTTGTTGTGCAATGATCATATCACCCATGTGAATGAAAATCATATGGAAATGTAGACTGCTTTAAAAAGAAAAAAATGAGGGAAGGGACAGGAGTCGCTGGAATTGTTAACTTCTGTCATGTTTCATGGAAAGCCCATCCAAAGGGTTAACCAGAGGGGCTGAGGGAGAACAGACACCTGGGACCTAACACCCAATTGGCAGTCTTTTGTAATATATAATTTGCCTAAAATTGCGCACTGAGCACAAGCTTTTGTTTTCTAATTGATTTACGGTTTGAACCACTTTTACCTCATCCCCTACTGTCCTGCACACAGTGCCAGCAAGTACATTACAGTGAGAAATGATAAATTACCATGCACTTGTGATGCTAATGCATCAAGAGTAAAAAAGCTGCGTACTACATGGAGCTTCATGCATTAAGAGTGTCGCAAAGATAGAGCTGTGCAAAAAATCATTTGTATCTTCTGAAATAACCATTTGATCATTTACTTCCATTCATCTCTGAGACCTAATTGAACCTGAAGATTAAAATTTATGCTATTATGGCTTTCCGTTTGTAAATTGGAACAAAGTTGTAAAGAAGGTGTGAGTGTGGTCTTAAAGCTACCTGTATTTTTGAAACTTTTAATAAGTTAATTGATCAGAAAAGTAACAGGTATTACATCTTCTTAAAGCCTTTTTAAAATCTAAACATTTTGCTTGTTAATGACAACTACAGTATGCATTCTCAAATGGCATTGCTCCATTTTTAGATAGGAGCATGTGTAGATGTGTTAATGTAGGTAGTGCCTAATAAGCGTTTGTCGCCACAACTATTTAAATATTTTAATCTGTTTTGTTTCAGAGATGTAGTGCAACTTTTACTGAATAACACCTTTACAGGTGTTATTGAGGAAGAATTGAAAATCTTGTATAATTTTTCTTGCATTTGTGAAATACCTTACTGATATCCCAGAGAAGAGGAAAATGTAGAAGTTGGTGAAAGCTAATGGATGCTTCTTGTCTGATTCCTTTCCCCTACCCTGCATCAAGGGCTGGATTTTTGTTTTACCTTCACATACTCAGTCCACCTTAAATTTTTTATTTTTGTATGATGTCTGTGGGTTCCAGTCTTGAAATATGAAGAAACAGATTTATGGCGGCTGCTGGGCACAACAAATTAAGTTGACAGTGATGTATGAGAGCATAATAGCATGATGATCCCTCTGTAGCGCGGCTGGACACCTCCTGCTTCATTTGGCTCTTGTTAGGATCTGTTAGGCAGCTAAATAATGAAATTCTGTTGACTGATTTCTGATTTCTCTTTTCTTTCTCTTTTCACTTTTTTCTGAAATTTACATTTCCCAGACCCATCCTAATGCCAGCAAACTGCCTTTAAAGGATTCTTTCACTTATGACGACTACAGGTTGGTCTGTCTTTTAATTCTTTCTTTTCTTCCTTTTTTGAATATAGTGAACTGTGGGGCCCTGGAAATGCTTCACTGGTGGGAAAGCTCTATTGTTATTGAAATGTTAAAAGTAGGATTTCATACTAATACACTTTCTTAATGAAGAAGAAAGTAAAGTAAATATGCAGATTTTAATTTTTACAAATGAATAGTCATTATGAGCAGTTAATTAGTTGTTTCTTCAGAAAATAATTCAGTTGATGTTGCAGGAGGTTTGGGTTTTGGGTTTGAGGGTTATTTTTTTCCTTTTTTTTTTTTTTTTAATAAAAGGCTTTACCAGCACATAGTAGTAAAAACTAGTATTTCCAGTGGCCGCTGAACAGGAGAGCTGTAAATTAAGTTGTACACATGAAGCATGAGTGTCGCTTGGAGGTGCTATAGGAGGTGACAAAATTAAGATAAGAATAATTACGATAACAAGAGCTTTAATTCTGTTAAGTGATTAAAATAGCATAAATAAAAGGCATTCATGAGGTCTTACAGGGATTTTTTTTTAGCCTGGTCATAATTCTGGGTAAAGTCTATGAAAGTGGGATTTCTAAAGCATACATTGTTCACTTACAGGGTCACTGAGGAACACACCAACTTACATGTGGAGTGGTCTAGAATTTTGCAGATAAATTACAACAATTAAAAAGAAACATATTGCTATTATGTTTCAAACAGTGTTTGTATATCAAAATTATCCACAATTTTAACTTGTTTTTTTAGAAATTCAGTACATTTTAATTTGATGGTATCTTTCTAAGCAATCTGTAGTCCTTCTGAAAAAATCCTTCTGAAAGTCTAATTCTGTATATTAAATACTTGTTAGTAGTGGAGTCTGTGGGAGTTAAAATTATTTTGACCTTCTGGTGGTATTCCTTTTTTTGTGTTCCTCAAAAAAGCCACAACAAATATACGTATTAAGGCCAGAACATAGTGAAACTAAGATTACTTTTTTCCTCTGGCATTTAATGCTCATTTTTGTCTGAAGTCAAATAAAAATGAAGTTTTAGGAAATACTGAAATGTTAAGCTTTTCTGAAGATTTTTATGTTTCAATAAGTAGCTGGCATTTCATTTGCTTAAGCTGACTTAGAAAGGTTTTGAATGATGTCTGTGTGCTAAATTATGTTTTACTTTCTTCATTCTTTTTACCTTGATACCTGTTTGGAGTATTGGGGCTTTTTTTCCTCTTTATTCTGTTAAGCAGAAAATTTAGCCATACTGATCTAAGCCCAAAGTTTGCAAACTGAAGAGAAGGACTTACTAAAATATCATGCATGTGTCAGGTGATGCCACTGGTTTCCAGTTCATGCAAGCAAGGGGAAGAACATGTCCTGACTCTTACAAGAGTCTGCACATAGATGGGAGCTACTGCTGCCAGGCTATAGCTGTGAACTACTCTGAAGCCTGCAGGAATAGCTGACCCCAGGTTTGGGATGTGTGGTGAGAAGTATATGTGCAGTGAAGGCTTGGGGAAGCAGAAGGCAACATGGGAGTGGGTCCTGGTTGAGGTAATGGAAGGTGTGAAGGTTCTGTTGCAAAGAGCGCATAAGAGGTGTGAGATTGCACTCCTGATTTGGGAATTGGTCTATGTGCATGTCTTGGAAACCTAGGAGCTGCTGCTTCTCCTGCAAGTGGTATAGCCGCCTACTGTTACTATAGTCAGTGTGATCTTTGAGAAAACTAACTTTGGAAACTCCCAGCCTAAATGATTGCTTCAGGTTGGACTACAGCCAATCATATATTGATGTTTTGAACACTGACCGTCTAATGTTTTTAATTTTTGTAGATGGGCGGTTTCCTCTGTTATGACACGGCAGAACCAGATTCCGACAGAAGATGGTTCCAGAGTTACCTTGGCTCTAATACCTTTATGGGACATGTGTAATCATACTAATGGACTGGTAAGGATTTCTTCAGTGTTGCTGAAAGGCTTTAGGGCTTAAGTATTAAGCCTTTCAACTCCCATAGAGCAGTTTAATAACACTTTTCATTATGCTTCTTAACACAGGTATTTTATCTTCCCAAGTGACCCTAAAAAACTAATATCGAAAGAAAGATATGTCAGTTTCTTAAATGTCTCAGGATAGCTTTTCAGGGAGAACTTTCTTCATCTAGAGAAAACTTTCGAAGTGATTGTATACTTCCATACAATTATGTCTCATATACATATAATGTACCTTTAAGATTTTTCAGTTACCTGATACCTTTTTTCCAGCCAAGTTTGAATAGTCTTCTGACATGGAGCTTTGTTTCTGACAAACTGAAAAAGGTTCACAGTACTGGGCAGATTTGTTCTGAGAACAGGAAAGCAGACAATGATGGAGGTTGCCTCTTGTAGCTACCACTAAGGAAAGTGGTTAGAAATTCGCAACTAAGAAATTGCGAATGCTCTCGGAACCATGCTCCAAGAGCCGCCTTATGGAGACAGCAACAACAACAAAGCCTAGTTCAACAAAAACAGTACATCTGTTACAACATCAAAGAAACAAAATGCAAAAATACTACTTTAGGGCATATTAAACATTTAAAAGGTGACATATGTATATAGAAAGTCAGACCTGCTGACTTTTTGGCTTACGTGAGCTAGTTCAGAGGATGAGGTCTTGGATTCGTTAACAGGTTAGCTAATATTTAAGTGAGGAAATGGAAACCCGTAAGAGGATGGTTTATCAATGTTATTTGGCCAGTCTCATGGACACTTCAAAATTCATACCCTCTAATTGTGTTTCCAGTAGATAGTATTATTTGTTGTAAGCAGTGAATATGACCATACTATTCAAGTATTCTGATTCTTTTGTGGGGAGAGTTGATCTGAGTGTTAGGACAGCAGCATGTGTTCGTATTGTTGATATAAGAAAAGCCTGGTTTAAATGAACAACTTGTAAAGCAAGTTGTTTTTCACTTGGTATTTAGCTAATTTATTGTTACTATGACTGTACCAAATACAGCAGGGTAGGCTAGGCTACAAACTTGCAAGTGTTTGGGTTTGTTTATTTATTTTTCCTTATTAAAAAGTGATCACATGTTGTTCTTTAACAGTGATTCTTGCCTTTCACTATTTGTTATGCAATCTCATAACTTTGATTTAGCAATAAAGCTTGTAATAGGGTACCCAATATAAAGAAAACTGCTTAAAATTCAGAAATGCATATTTTTATAGTATAAGTCTTAGCTGCAAGCATCAATACTTCCTGTACCCTTTTCCTGCTGGGCATCTCTTTCAGATGCTTTTGTAGAGGCTTGTCTGTATTCATTAGACAACTCTTTAATGAATGCCTTCAAAGTTGGGATTAGAGGAAAGAGGAAGAGAATTAAGGTTCTGGGAGGGAAAAAATTAAGTAGCCTATATTAAAAGAGCAGCTAGTTATGTTGTTTTAATCATTCAAACTTCTATTTAAATTGATAAAGTAATTTTTATTTTTATTATGCTCTTTAACAATGGGTTTGATATGGAGCCAGCCTCTGGATCCAAACCTGCTAATGCAGTAGCATATCAGGGTTGGAACCATTTTTTTATGCTGAAGTGTATCCTAAAGGGCGGGGGGGTGGGGTGCTGAACTTAAATATTTTGTATGTATATACAGACGACTCCACTCATTTGTTTCTACAGAAAAGAGTTTAAATGGTTATATATTTAGGAAGGATAGACAGATGTAATATTGATAATGGGCTAAGAAAAGCAACTAAACCTATTTTTGTTTTGTGTTAATTTCCTTGTACTATGAGAAATAGGGGAAAAAACTTCTAAGATAACTGTAAGCTGCCTGTATTGTAGTTGATATTGTTGTAGAGTGAGTTGAGGCTGGGTTCTGCTCTAATCATAGTGCATCAATTTAAAATACTTGAAAGGAATTATTCTTCATTGCAGGAAATTAAGAAACAAAAGATGGCGTTGTATGCACCTCCGTCTAGTCTATTCCAAACATAGTGCTAAAATACTACTTGACTCAATCAGCTACTATATATATCCCTATTCTTGCTTTATTCCACCAGCCCCCTTTCCATGAACTAGATAATAAAATGCTCTTTGGGTTTTAACTGGAGCTAGGTCCATCCAGCTTTTTCTTGCTTCTGACACTATTAATTAGATCAACCTGCCTCTAAGAACTATATCAAAATGGTTGTCTTCATGCATTTCTCATTGTTATTCTTTAGTAGGATTGTATTTTGACAGTCAGTGGTTGATTACCAGTTCTGACAGAGCTTTGAAAAGCTACATTCTGCCTGTTGGGCTGGGTCCATCCTTAATCACTGACCAAGCAGACTATTGCATGCTTTATACACAACTTGAAATTCATGTATCAGTCTGCGTCAGAAACAAAACTGAAGGGATGCAATTTGTCAGCTATCATGTGGGAAGAGAAGTAAACACCCTGTTAATTCTCTTACATGACTGCTATTAAAAAAAGGAGGAAATAAGAGTCTACCACTCCATTATGCTTTATAGAAAAGCCTTTCAGAAGTGCTGCTGGGTGGGTTTTTTGTTGTTTTGGGTTTTGGTTTTTTTGGTTGGTTTTTTTAAAGAAAAGAAAAAAAAAAAACCACAATCCAAAAAATGAGCAGTACTCTAGTGAAGCATGCTTAAACTGACAGAATTCTTCTCAACATACTGGAATTTCCCCAGTCCTTGAAAGCCGCCTGTTCTGCAGGCATTTCAAGAGACTGGAATGGACTTTTCACATTCACAAGTATTTCACTGAGTTTACACACTAAGAAAATTTCAGGACAGGTCAAGTGCTGTCAAGAGTTCCCTTTTTTGAATGGAAGTTACAGTTTTTTTCAGAAGATGACTGTATTTGAACTTGGAAGCTACATTTATCATAGAGAAGGTAAATCCTCTAGCACTTGTAACCTGCAATTCAGGGTTAGAGAACCTTCTAAACGAGAGATCTTAATTAAAAATTGTTCAGTCCAGCATAGTGAATGTACAGGAATTTCTGTGTTCAAGTACTACAGCCTATGTTTTGCAGTAGGCCATATTGCATGACACTCATGTTCTCTTCTGATCTCAGCATAACACAAACCCATTAATAGACCTGAAGTGGTGGCATCTGTGTGCAGAGCAGTTCTGCAAACCTCCACAGGGCCAGACTGCCTGTTCTTGGGGCTGCTGTTTTGGATTTTCTGCATCGGAGACAAGTTCCCCGTGCTCACTTTGAAAGCACATGCTGACAAATGCATGCTTGATGATGCAAGCAGCATAAAACTATTGACATGTAAACTGTCAACCAAGCTTTCAAAATAATCCATGGAGTTCTGTCTTTGGACAAACTGCATCCAAGATGGAGATCAGGATATACTGCAACTCACATGTCAGCTTACAAAAAAGTATGTTTTCATTTACAAAGGCTGAGAGAGAGTCTTCGGCTGCTTCTAGGTTTTTCCCCAGGCCCAGAGCATATTTTTCCATAAGTTAGCTCTGTCAGTACTGAATTCAGAATACCTACCATAATTCAAAATACCTACCAAGGGTATGGTACCTACGATACCCTTCCTGATTGTTCAGCAGCTTATTATAGAATCATAGAATAGTTTAGTTGGAAGGGACCTTACTATTATGTTCTGTCCTGTGGCTGCATCTGTGCTGGCATCTTTCGTAATACTGTTCAAGAACATGGCGTTTATCACTTTAAAGAAGTATTACATTTTTAGGGTAGCTTTACTTGTTAGTGTGACCCCTTTACTGTTCTGTAATTTGTTTCAGAGAAGTACAGGTTTGTTAAGAGAGTTTATCCTCTTCCATTGCCTGCTACCATCAAAAAAGTCCTTTTAGCATTTTGAGAGTATTACTTAACTTTTAGATAAAGGGATTATTTGCAAGTAAATTATAATTCTCTGAAGACTGTATCCCCTAAAGATCCACAGTTATCTAATCCTCCTTCATTGAGAGATCAAAACTGTGCTGGCAATTGAAGGATAAAGCACAGCATATAGAGCTGTCAGTGCCTTGCTCCCTTGGGCCTCATGGGAGTGACTGAAAGCTCCAGAACTTTATAACAAGCTGCCGGCTTTAGCATGGGACTGTCTGTGGTCTATGGAGGGTACTTTCCTCATAGCCTACTGTTCACTTCAGGTAGGTTACTTCCTCCATTAGATTTCTTTAATGCAGAGATTATTTTTTTAAAAAGAGATTGCTCAGGAATCATAAAACAATCACTACCAGCTATATTGTGCAGAGAAAGAAATGTATGCAATTGATATTGTTAATATCTATTTCCAATAGGACAATGCTTTGTCAATGGTGGGAGAGAGAAATATAAAATGCTAAAGGTGCTTCTGTTACTCTTTCCTCGGATAGATCACTACAGGCTACAATTTAGAAGATGACCGGTGTGAATGTGTAGCACTTCAAGATTTCAAGGCTGGAGAACAGGTAGTGTGAACAGTTATCTACATAATTGTTCTTTAATTAAGTTTTGTGGACACTTGGTAATGCACCACAAAATTTTAATAGCGGAGTGGTATGGATTAAGCCCTGCTACATTTGAATTTTATTATGCTGAACTAATTTTGTGTGAAAATACTACCAAACTGGGTAAATGCACATTTTTCAGAATGAAATATTTTCTATCACTTGGTAGACCCCAACTTTTAGAAGAGTTTTGATTCCTCATATTTTAGAGAACTAGTTGAAATATTTAATCATTGGTAAATGCACATACACAGACACTGAATTTGTTATTCTGGATGAGATTAATAAAAGGCCATATCCATAGGACCAAAGATAAATATATTTTAGATTTGGGATGTCACTTTGTCTGCAATAGCAGATTATAGAGTCTTTCTTAACAATGTTGTTGGTTTATGTTTCTTGTTAGTCTTCATTTAAGAAGAGGTTAAATGCAGTATAGTTGCCATATTACCCATGTTGTCATTCCTATGCTTAGTGAAAACAAGAAAGGACCTAAAAATATACTCCTTCCCTTTCAGATGGGCATGCGCACATGTACACACCTTCATTCTGAGTGTTAAAACTAGTGATACCTTGAAGACTGGTTCCAGGAGTGTAGGAAATCTCTGGTAGGAGGGTTCCTGTGCTGTGTCAGCAACCAGCCTAAGCCCTCAAGTGCAGTAGCACTCTGTTTTTCCTACTGCTTGTGCAACTGCAGTCAGCATGACCAGAAAAAGACTTTGTCTATGGAACACCTTGAAACGTTTTGTAACTCAGTCTCTGAGTTATTACCTTGACTGTGTCATTTTGCCAGTCTTACGCTTTATAATATTTTAATTTTTCTAACATATTATTACCTTCTTTTTTTAAGAAAGATATGTCTGAAAATTTTTTTTAATATGTCTTTCTGGAGGCATATTTATCCTCATTGCTATGCTGGGGTTTACAGTGATTGTATATTTTTTAGGTTGCTCTTAGAATTTGTTATGGTAGTCAAATATTTGCTGTTTTTTCCAATACCGCAATGATGAGTTAAAAGAGGTCCACATTTTTCCAGAAGTGATCCAATTTATAATTTTCCACAGCTGGCAGTGGATGTGTCATATAGCTGTTCTGGCTGTTCTCTTCATTTCAATTATAGAGGCTTCCTCTATTTCAATTTGATTTTAGAAGTTTCACTTTGTCTGCTATTTGTCAGATTTTTTTTTTTAAATTTCTGTGCAAACTTTAACTGTTATCGACATCATTAAAACATTTTAATTATATAATGCTTCTGTCTTTTAATACACCATGCAGATGTTATTTCTTAGTTTCAGCAGG